TTCCTATCTCACCTGCTACTCCCCTCAGCAGTGTATTTCAGTGGATCTGCCTGTTCTGCTCCCCACTGTCTCTGGTGAATCCTCTCTCACCCCACCCCCCACCCCCGCATTTCTGGCCTGCACGCCAGCTCTTGTATGCATAAATAAATAAATCTTAAAAAAAAAAAAACCATTAATCCCTAAAATTCAAGAGGGCTATGATTTGAGAAAATCTATAAGCTTCATTAGTCATATCAATAAAATGAAAGAAAAAACATAATTGAGGCCAAAACTTACTTGACAAAATGCAATCCTAGACTTTTATTAAAACAAAACCTAGAAATAAAAAGTGGTTAAACTAATTAAGTAAATATATTTAGCAATTTCTGTTGTACGTTATTCTACATGAAGAAGTATTAGAAACCTTCCTTTTGACTAACAGAATGATGCCCACTATTACCTGTTTGATTCAACTTTGTACTGGAGGAATTAGCCAGGGACGTGAGACAAGGAAAAAAAAAATAAAATCTAACAGAACAACAGAAAAAGATGAAACTAAATTGTCATGATATGCAAATGTTACACAATTCTTTACATGGAAAAGTCAAAAGAATCTTCAGATAAACTATTAGAATTAAGATGTTTTGTAAGAGATGGTTAAAAAAGCATAAGAGAAAATATCATTTAATTTCAACCAAAAAGTGTAACACACCTAGAAATAAATTTTATCAAGAGATGTACAAGACATTTTTTTAATTGAAAAATCTTAAGAGACCTAATCAAATTGAGAGATATTGTATGCTGCTAGAGAAGATTCAATAGTGTAAACATGTTAATTTTTCTACAACTTGATCTAGTGATATAATGCACATCATTTTTTTAAGATTTACTTATTTATGCATACAAGAACTGGGGTGTAGGCCAGAGGTACAGGAGGTGGGGTGTGAGAAGATTCACCAGAGACAGGGTGGGGAACAGAACAGGCAGATCTACTGAAATACACTGCTGAGGGGAGCAGCAAGTGTGACAGGAGAGGTCTGCTGCAGCATGTGGGTAGCTCCCTGGCTGGACAGGGATCAAACTCATTCTGCAGTGGCTGCGGATAGCTTCATAGGTTGCATCTTAAAACCCCTTGCGCCCCCAGGGAGTCCCTATAATGCACTCTAATTCAAATTTTATTTGTGTGAGTGTGATTATGTATGATTGTGTGTGTGTGTGTGTGTGTGTGTATTCCAAGTTGATTCTAAAACATATGAACAGTGAAGACATTAATAAAGGAAAAGAATCAGGTGGGAATACCTGCCTTCCTAGATGTTAAGTCTTACACAAAGAAATAATACGTACGATTTCATAAGGAAATAGCACTGGATCGACAAAGTGACCAGTGTAACAGAAGCAAGATCTCAAACAGCCCTAAGCACATTTGAAACTTCTCTGTGTCTCAGATCACACTGGAGACCCATGGAGAAGTGTTGCTGCTACAACTGGATACCCGGATGTGCATCTACACCACACACAAAGACGATTCCAGACAGACTGCAGAACAAAACTTTAAAGTTTGAAAAACTGAGAAGCTGACTAGATCTCTGATGCCGAGCTTGGGAAGGGGTTCTTAAACAAGACAAACAGCCCTACGTGTATAAGGATAATACATTTGATTTTATTCAAATGAAGGCCTCTGCTTATTCCAAAACACCATAAAGAAATTGAAGACAGGGGCCCCGCTGGTGGCACAAGAGGTTAAGACACAGGACTGTGAAGCTATCTGCAGCCACTGCAACATTAGTTCGATCCCTGGCCAGGGAACAACCCACATGGTGCAGCAGACCTCTCCTGTCTCACCCACTACTCCCCTCAGCAGCGTATTTCAGTTAATCCACCTGTTCTGTTCCCAATCTGACTCTGGTGAATACTTTCACCCCCCACATCTCTGGCCTGCACCCCAGCTCTTGTGTGCATAAATAAATCTTTAAAAAAAAAAGAAATAAAATTTTAAAAATGTTTCTTTTACATTGAATAGCTTCAAATCCAACATTTTCATTAGAGAAATTTATATTAATGGACACAGCTTTACGTGGTGCACCTGTTCATTCTCAGCCAATCTTCAAGATTGTTGATTGGGTAATGTAACTCTCAGTGAGTGTGTTTAATGAGATGCATTTCATTTTGATAAAAATTGAAAACCTCTTGCCCACAATTTCTTTTTTTGGGAGTTAAGAATGTGATAAATATGATAGTGTTTTAAGCCTTTTTAGGAGGATGAAAACAGTCCATGTTTCTACATGAAAAACTTGCAAATCCGCATAGATATCTGAAAATAAAATTGGCAAGGCATTTTTGTCATTTTCGAAGCAAGCTCAGTGGCCTCTTTGGTAAATAAATTATAGATTCCCTCCTAGAATGAGAGCATTAGAATGTTTTCTTGAATTTAAAATTCTTGATCATTTTTTCTAAAGTGAAGATATTTAAATGACAAAAACATGATTCAAAGTTATGCTCCTCATTGTACCCATCCTACCATAGTTAGGAGGCTTTCAATGAGCATTGACATTAATGAAGAGAAGAAGCATAAGCTAACGACAAAATTCCTATTCAAAAGTATCTGTAGGATGTTGCAAATATCAAAGACCTACCGTGTAGGTGAGTAATAACAGTGACTTACTTGAGCTAGTAGACATTTTGCTTAACAATCCAGCAAACCAATGATGATGACGAGGAAGGAAACAACACTTGGAAAGTACTTGATTATTTTGTTATTGCTCTAATTTGACAAGACTTTTTGAAACAGAGTAGAGCTCTACCTTGACAGGTTTAAAAACCATATTCCAAAACTGCAATGAAACAGATAGGTTTTCGAGAGAGAAAAGCAACCAAGTAGACTAGAAATCCAACTCTGTCTCCCAGAAGAAATCTTCACCTTCCAGGTTTTGAGCACCAGCAAGCAGGCACCAGGGAGAATGCTTGACCCCTGCCAGGCTCTGAGTCATTCTTACTGAAGTTCTGCTATATCATTCCTGTGAGAACAGTTTCCGTTGGCCTACATGTGACTTCTTTGCATGGAGGAATGTAAACAGGGATCTAGAGAAAGTGGGGGACTATGCACTGACCTCATCATCCCCACTCACTGACAGCAGCCCCTGACTTTGTCCAGTCATCATTTCAGCCAATGTCCCCTAAACAGGCAGTATGTGGTCCAGGTTGAGATGCTCAGACTTGAAGGTGGTCATCACCCTGGAGTTGGAAGGAACTGGGTAAGAGTCCTCCCTGCAAATCTGTAGGTGTGTGGCTTCCCCACTCTGAACCACCAGGTCCTCATCTGGAAGGCTCGGGTAATCCCTTCATCTGAATTGTGAACAAGAAAATATCTGCAAAAGTTGGTTTGAGGCCAGCGATGCGGAACAGATTGCCAGATCTGCTCCATACCTCCCTCTGCCGAAGTCTTGCCCATTCTCTCCTCCCGGTAGAAGACAACCCCCTGCTCAGTGTTAAGGTGATGGACACACAGAGGGTAGGGGGCATTGCAAGGGGGAGGAGATAGCCAGGCTTCACTTTCTACCCATCCACCCTCCCCTTCATTTGTCATTCACTGATTCGTCCAATAAGTATCTCTCCCGCAGCCCGAGAAACCGCTGGTTCTGCAGTTATATTTTACCACAAAGCTGTCAATACTTTCCTCGAGTCTGGTATTTTTGCTGAAACCAAAGTTGCTCGCAGTGGCCAGAGCACAGATCCCATCTGGCCCAATGATTTAGCCGACTCACTTTCTTTGCTTGGACCTGTGAGCCCTGGGGCTAGAGAAAACTGGGCTGGGCCTCCAGGAAACCACACTGGGAGTGTAAGAATGCTGACAGGGTGGGAAAAACCCCACCCTGGCCGTGGGCTTCCTCCATGTAGTCTGACACCAGCGGGTGCTGGGGAGGTAGCGACCCAGCCTCACGGGGCAGGACTTCGTGGTCGTGTGAAAGGATGTCTTCTCAGCCAGACCCAGGCACAGCCAGGCTTCCAGAACAGCCCTGCCAAGATTAGAAAATAGGCAGTCTTTTCATCCTGGCTCCTCCTGAGTCCCCATGTCTAGACGTTTGCTTGGTGACACCATGGTAACCGTGATGCCACAATGGAACATTCTCCCGAAGGTGGTAGAAGATATCCCTCTTTTGAGCTCTGCTGTGTAAGGTCAGAGTGAGTTCATTTCTCCTTTTCCAGGAGCAGTTCATGGAACTCTAGAGAACCATCCTGACGATGAGAAGCACCCGGTATCAGGAGGGGAATGTGGTGACTGAGCACAGCACACGGGCTTCCTGAGGCGGCTGTGTACGGTCTGAGGCCAGGGTAGGTCTGCAGGGGCACAACTCACATGGACTGTGATCAGGCAGAATGAGCTGGAATTCCCACTGCCCGGTAGGCAGCTTCATGACCTTGGCAGGCTTCTCCATGTCTCTTAAGTGTCAGTTTCTAAATCTGTAAAATGGGGCTAATGACAGTGTCTACCTCATAGGGTTCGTGGACAGATGAAGTGAAGTGCCAGGGCCATTCCTAGGTGAAGAAACCATTCCCAGCTAAGAGAAACCCCTCATTTACTCAGCTGAGTTTAGAGGGGCTCAACCAGCTGCCCTTGCACTAACACCCCCCCCCCACCCCCTACTTTTCTTTCAGCAGCATTTTATGGCTACTGAATTCAGGCAAGGGTTGAATTCCACAAGTCAAAAACCAACCCCTTTCTGAGAGCCAGCTCGCTGGGCAGCCGGGGACCCTGGCTGGACGGAGGAGGACACTGACAAGCCTGGGCAGCCTCCTCTTCTCGGAACCTCTTCCCCATCACGAACTGACCACCAGTGCTCGCGGCTGGTCCTGGCCTCCTTCCTGCTCAGAACCCACAATAGGGACGTGATAAGTCTGTACCCCACGTCTTTGTTAGTGAAAACGAGAGAGGCCAGGCCTCTACGTGGGGGTGGCGGTGGGATGGAACCACCCCTTCGGGAGGAGAGGAAAGAGCCGTGGTTTGGATGCTCTGTTTCCACAGCTGCCCATGGTGTCTGCTGCGGTTCTCTCTGGGGATGGTAGAGATGAGAGGGATGCTCTTAGTGCTGCTCTGCGTCTCCCACTCTTCTGCCAGTGAGTGTGCCGCTTTCTTCCCCGATGTCGTTAGCCCAGCTGGGACAGGGCAGGGGTATTGTCGCAGAAAAGCAAAGAGTCTTTAATGTCCAGCGAGACACTCAGGGAAGAGGACTCACGGTGCTTGGCTCTGGGCAATGAGAGTGGGCGGTGGGAACGGGCAAAGTGGCATGTGGTGTAGGGAACTGGGGTGTAGGGAACTGCGGCCCCAGCAGCCCAATGCCGGGCTGGTCCTCCAGTGAATACGATTAGAAAGTAAGACTTGGGCCCTCGGGCGGGGATCAGCAGGAGAGCGCCCTATACGGTTGCGGGAAGCAGGTGGCACATGTCACCCAGCTGGGGGCTGGGAGTTTCAAGGCCCTTCCTACTCTGCTGTCATTGTAACACTCTCCATGAACCTATGAATAGGGAACTTTTTTTTAAAGATTTATTTATTTATGCATACAAGAACTGGGGTACAGGCCAGAGGTGTGGAGGGTGAGAGGACTCACCAGAGACAGAGGGGGGAACAAAACAGGTGGATTGACGGAAATACACTGCTGAGGGGAGCAGCGGGCAAGACAGGAAAGGTCTGCTGCGTCATGCGGATAACTTCATAGGTTGCATCTTAACCCCTTGCACCACCAGGGAGGCCTTGAATAGGAAACTTTTTAAATAGCAGGGCACTAAAATCATCTTCGGCCAACTCAGGGCTTGCAGGGGGAAAGTTTTACTTAAAACTTTACTCAACATTTAACAGCCATTTGAAACAAAATCCACACTGCCCAAGATTGTCCAGTTAGAGGTGACCCACTGGAGGGTTCAGGAAGGCAAAAGGCCACGCAGGCCTGGGTGGAGCCAGAGATAGCCTCTGCCTGGCAAGATCATTGAAACCCTTGAGAAGATGTCAGGGAGTGCTTGGTTGGCATAATGCAGTAATTACTGAGGGTGCTCAAAGGGGTTTTGCTTGTGGAGCTATGTCTTTCCACATTTACCATATTAGAGATGATTTGAAACACAGGGATATGCCTGCTCATATATGCTATTAGCCAACAGAGTGAGGACATCAGGTAGCTTCTGGAAAATTCCACTGTACACTCATGAGGGTGAAAAGCAAATACTGTCTTAGTATTTCTATGAAAATAGTGTGAACCTTGCAGACCCCGGAGGGGCCTTGAGGACTCCCAGACCACATTTTGAAAACCACAGGTATCTACCAAAAGTTTCAGGTACCGCCTACAGTGAACACTAGTGCCCAGCAGATGAGAGCGATGATCTGTATTTAGTATTTTTAGATTCAAAGATGCCACCAAGCGTCTTTTATGGGGAAGAAGACCCATTGGGATAAGAAAGAGACAGGGGTGGTAGAGCGAGAGATGAACCAAGACAGAGAGAGAGTTGGAAGGAATGGGGAGCCAGCAAGAGGAGGGGGAGCTGAGGTTGGGTGCGGTGGTGGTGGTAGCAGACCACCAAATCCTTTGCAGTAAGACCCCCACATCCCCTCTTCAGGCTGTGGCATCCAGCACATCGAAACTTTAGCAACTTCCGAGGAGGGCATGGTCCACGGCAAGGAGTTCCCATGGGTGGTGTCGCTGCAGGATTCCCTGTACACCCACCTGGCTTTCGGCAGCATCCTCAGTGAGTTCTGGATCCTCAGCATCGCATCCATCTTTAAGAACAGGCCAGTACCCCTGCCTTTGGGGCCCACACAGCCCCCTGGGATGGCGCAAGGGGCGGGGGCTCTGTTTGCAACTCATCTTGGGGAGGCCTGGAAGGTGGTTTCCTGGTGACAGGGCTTCAGGGCTTTTTACCTGCTGTGTATTTGCTCCTCAGTCAAAAAGTGGGGGTGGTGGGGGTCCTAAGATCACCAGTTGCAAGGTTGGTGCATCGGGTGTCCCCCTGCATAATGAGGACTCCCCACTGCACAACAGCAAAGTGGAATGATTGCCTCCTCTATCTACAGGCAGGATCTTTGTCCCCATTTTACTAGGATCACAAAGGCTCTGGCCCTTAACACTAGACATCCTTACTCATCTTGCTCAGTGAATGACAGGAGTCCTCACCTTAAAACTCTTACCTCAGGCCTTAACAATGCATCTGCCACAAGTACATGTATGAAGAGAAGATGCCAAGGAAATACGAAAACACTTTGTCTCTGGGTGCTTGGAATTCACAGGATTTCTGTTTGCTTTCTTTGTCCTCTGTAGTATCCAAATTCTATACAATCAAGATGCATTTTTTTGAATAAAAGAAAAAACCCCAAGTGTTGTTATAGGAAATTTCTTTTAAAAAAAATAAATTTTTGACCCAATAATTTCCCACTTTTTGACCCAATAATTTCACTTTTGGGGATCAGTATTAAGGGAATAACTTTAACCACTGGGGAAGTTTTTTGTCCAAGTTGTTGATAGGATGGCTAATTATACAAAAAATAGTAGAAAGGTAATATCCAATTATAGTGGATAAATTATAGTATAGTTACTTTTTTACATATGTACTATATAATATATATGAAGTATAATATAGGTAGCTTATGTATTATATACTCACAAAGTAGGGGGCAAGAACCTATTACTATAATTGGCTAGATTATAGCAAAACCTTTGGAATATTGTGCAGCTGCTAAATTTTTAACATATGATCTAAATTTCTAATAGAAAACGCATGTATTTAAATGAAGATGTGTGCCTTCAGTCCCTCCTTTGAGCCATATCACATCACCAGTTTTCTGGGTACCCTCTTTAAATACTCAGTATATTTATGTATAGCTGTAGACCTACAGACCTACTTGTATTGATCCTTTTCTTTTTTAATATTTATTTATGCATACAAGAACTGGGATGTAAGCTAGAGGTACAGGGGGTGAGAAGATTCACCAGAGACAGTGGGGAGCAGAACAGGCAGCTGTACTGAAATATGGAGCAGCAGGTGAGACAGGAGAGGTCTGCTGCGCCATGTGGGTAGCTCCCTGGCCAACCAGGGATCGAACTCCTGCTGCATGGCTGGTAATAGCTTGATATCGCTGTCTTTAACTCTTGTGCCACCAGAGAGGCCCCTATATTGATTCTTAAATCTACTGACAGAGAGCCCTCTCTCCTTCCTCCCTTGGTGACCTGCTAGGGCTGGCATAACAAAATACCATTTCTCACCATTCTGGAGGCCGGAAGTCCAAGATCAAAGTGTTGGTAGGCTCGGCCTCTCCTGAGGACCCTCTCCTCAGCTTGCAGACACCACTTTCTCACTGCATCCTTGCCTGGCCTTTCCTCTGTGATGCAAACTCCTGGTGTCTCTTCCTCCTCTTGTAAAGACATAGTCCTACTGGATTAGAGTCCCACACGTCTGGCCTCATTAAATCTTAATTACCATGTCTTCTTGATTCGGTCATCTATTTTTGGGCATTTCAGTTGTTTCTATAGCTTAGCTATTGTAAATAGTGCTGCTATAAATGCATACATTGTGCAAAAATGAAAAATGATGTAAGAATTATATAAAATAAAATACATTATAAAAAAATAAAGAATGCAGAGCAAAAAAAAAAAAAATCTTCATTACCTCCTTAACAGCCCCATTTCCTTCCAAACCCAGTCACATTAATGTGACCCAGTCACATTAGGTCTTCACTTAAATATTTGGGGGGACACAGTTCAGTCTATAAAACCCTCTCTCCCAATAGCTGTGGCCTATCACACACAGTATTCCACTCTTAACTTTCTTCACTCTGTTGTGAGTGCTGGGGAGGGGGGTGTCTTTTCTTTTCTTTTTTTTTTAAGATTTATTTATTTATTTATACAAGCACTGGGTACAGTCAGAAGCGCGGGAGGGTGAGAGAATTCACCAGAGCCAGAGCAGGGAGCAAAACAGGCAGACGAACCAAAGTACACTGCTGAGGGGAACAGCAGGCATGGCAGGAGAGGTCTGCGCGCCATGTGGGACCCTCACCCAGCAGCCAGGGATCGAACCGGCACTGCAGAGGCTGTGGGCAGCTTCGCAACCCAGCGCTCAACCGCTGTGCCACCAGGGAGGCCCCGGGGGTGTCTTTTCTTATGGTATGAATACCACATTCTTTCCATCAGCTACACAGTTATCCTTTGATAGATGTACCATAGTTACACAGGCCTCAAATGATGGACATTTGTGTCGTTTCCAACCTTTTCCTGGTAAAAAATCTACTTTGCACAAACGTTCCTTCACATACATGTACACATATATAGCATGAACAACCTAGGTGTGGAACGACTGGGCGAAACTTCAAGTGCTATTGCTGACTAACCCTCCAGAGAGCTTCTGAGTTCTGGTTGTATTCTCATTATTGCTATTTTCTATTTAGTCTGCTGTTTTGGTTTTGACTTTCTCTCTGACTCACAGTTTTATGAAACAGTGCTTTTAAATATCCAAATGGTAGGGGATTTTCTGGTTTGGTTTTTTTTCCCCTAACTTTTTAATTTTGATTTCTAAAACAAAGCAGACGTGTTCAGGCATTTGTTGAAGTTGTCCTGGTGGGATTTGTGGAAGTGACTAATATGTGGACATTGAGAATTTAAAAGGTAAATTTAAAAGTTCATTCTCTGTCCCTGGTGTACAGTATGTAAAATCACAGAGGGAGGCTATTTGATCTGTTCATGATTAAGAGATGAATTAAAATCCCCTGTCATGAACACACTCCTGGCATTTTTTCCCTCCGATTGTCTGGAGTTTTTGCTTTGTAAACTTTATGTCACTTAGTGCAGGGAGTAATAACCATGAGGTCTTCGCTGTAGACTGAACTCTTGATCACCATGAAGTGACTTTCTTTGCCTTATTTAATGCTCCTCTGTTCAGAATGAAACTCCTGTTCTTATTTTTGGCTTAGGTTATGGTTTCTATTTTTATTGCTTCTTGTTTCTTTTTTCATGATAGCGCCTCTGTATGTCTCTTCTGACAAATCTGGAAAGTTTGAATTTTGGTTCAGGTGTCCATCTCAGAGTTGTAATTCTATGGATGACACCTAAATCCTTCATGTCTTTCTAGACAGGCCTCTCTAGACTCAACTGTGACCAATGTCAGGATCTCAATCTTTTTATTTCTTTCCTCCTCCTTCTCCACCACCCAATTTATTAGACTGTTTTTGCTTTAATGTTTAACTTGATTCATATACACATTTGCACACTCCATGTTATCCATAAGGGATATGTTTAGACATCCTCAAAAGGTGAGAAAAATCGATGTACACACCTCTCTCTTTTCAAATTTAGTTATACCATTTGCTTATTGCCAGGATTAACATTTTTATTCTAATCTCTAATCTTAAAACCTTTTCCTTTAGTTTTATTTTAGTTCAATAGTATAATTCAACATTAGTCCTTTCGCTGGGTTTTCATTCAGTAGAACTGGCCAGAATGTGTCTTCAGATTTTTCAAGGGCTCCCAAGAACTCTATTTCCTTCGCTTTTGCATCTTTAGAAATATGTTGCTGCCCTTTAGCTCAAGTGGCCACCTCTTATGTAGAATGCATAGATCACACATTCTTTCCTTTTAGGGACGTAATAAGACTTGCCCTCTGCCTTTTGGTATTAAATCTTTTTTTTTTTTTATAGAGGCATGCTTTTATTTATTTATTTGTTTGTTTGTTTTGTTTATACATGCACTGGGTACAGTCAGAAGCATGGGAGGGTGGGAGAACTCACCAGAGCCAGAGCGGGGAGCAGAGCAGGCAGAAGGACCGAAGTACACTGCTGAGGGGAGCAGCGGGCGGCAGGAGAGGTCTGCGCGCCATGCGGGACCCTCCTCCGGTGGCCGGGGAGCAGCCGGGGATCGAACCGGCGCTGCAGAGGCCGCGGGCAGCTTCGCAACCCAGCGCTCAACCGCTGCGCCACCGGGGAGGCCCTATTAAATCTTTTTTTAAAAGATTTATTTATTTATTCTTACAAGAGCTGGGGTGCAGGCCAGAGGTGTGGGAGGTAAGAAGATTCACCAGAGACAGAGTGGGGAACAGAACAGGCAGACTGCTTGAAATACACTGCTGAGGGGAGCAGCGGGTGAGACAGGAGAGTCTGCTGCGCCATGTGGGTAGCTCCCTGTCCGGGGATCGAACTCATGCTGCAGTGGCTGCAGATAGCGTCATAGTGCTGTGTCTTAACCCCTTGCACCACCAGGGGGGCCCTGGTATTAAATCTTGCTGTGAAGATTTTGGAATCCATTTTGACTTTTACCTTTCTATGTGGGTAATACATCCAGGGATGCTTAAATCTGTTATCCTAGTATCCCATTGCACTGTCACAGATTCCCTGGGACAGGCAATAGATTATCTGGCTAAGCTTAAAAGGACTTCATATGTTATCTGGATGCCTAAGGACTCCTTCTTCATCACTGAAGTCCAGCAATTTTACCAGTTGGGATGGATCTGCCCCATTTACCCATGGTGATCCCTTTTCTTTTCCACTCTGCTTGCCTTGGGAGGCTGGCCTGCATGGGGTACACCATTAAGCTCTCTTATCTTTCAGGTTCCAGTTGGGTTTAGCCAAGGGGTGCACTGGCAAGAGATCAGAAGGAGGGAGGAGAGTAGATCAGGATGCCTGTTCCCAACAGGTACTGCAGATGGCTGTTCCTCCAGCCAAGTTACCCACTGCCCACAGCTCTGTCTGACCACTGCCTGCTCTCACGGGACCAGCCTCAGCACCGGTTGCTATGTCATCAGGAAGTGGCACATACCCAGCCCACAGCACCGTTCCTTGTGATTTCCCTACAGCCTGCCTTTGTAAAGAGTCTGTATTAGGCTTCCCTCAGTTTACCATATCTGAGTGTGACTTCTTTTTCCTCCTGCTGGGAGATGACAAGGAAATGTCTTCATGTTGATCACTCTATCTCATTTCCTCCCCTAGGATATGGAGTATCCTTCTAAACTGTAGGTTCAAGTTTTGCTCCAGAAAATTTTCTTTAATTATATTTTGAAGTATTTTTTCTGTTTAGTTGTTTTGGTCTGCTGCCAGGATTGTCATTTTCCTCTCTAGCCTTTAAGAATCTTTAAGAATCTTTAATGTTCATTTCATTTGGTTATTTTTCTGTCCTTCCTTCTGTATCCTTTATTATGTTTTCTGTGGTCTCTCTTCTTCATGCTGTTTCCAGTTTGGGCTTCCTTTTAGTGATGGTTTTATTTCCACTTCTGTGCTGAGAAATGTGTTTGACCAGCTTTTACTCACCCTCTGGCAGGAGGTGACATCTACCTCCCTTCACTGCTTTCATCCAACTTCCCTGATTCTGAGTGTTTCTTAGTTTTATGATGTTTGCATTTGTTTCTCATTCTTACAGTTCTCTGGGTGACTCCCAAAAGGAAAATACCTCACTGAACTCCATCATTATTAAATTGGAATTTCTCTGGAGTGTTTCCAGAGTATATAATATGGAGCAATGGAATGATGGTTGAATTAAAATGTTAAAAGCTAATCAAGAGTCATGATTAGTCTTTTGCTATCACTACAACTGTTTTAAAATATTATGCATAGAAAAAAATGATCAGCAATCACATATTAACAGATTCTCTTTGGGTGGTGGGATAAGGCATTAAGATAGAAAAATCCTGATCCCTTATTTGGGTCTTCTAAATTTCCTGCTATAAGTGAGACCATCCAGTATTTTTCTTTTTCTTTTTGGTTTATTTCACTGAGCATGATCCCTTCCCGCTCCATCCATGTTGTTGCAAATGCCATGAGTTTATCTTTTTTGATTGCTGAGTAATATTCCATTGTGTATATGTACCACATCTTCTTGATCCAGTCATCTATCTTTGGGCATTTGGGTTATTTCCGTAGCTTACCTATTGTAAATAGTGCTACAATAAACATAGGGGTGCAGGTGTCCTTTTGATTTAATGTTTTTGTGTCCTTTGGGTAGATACCCAAACAAGGTATCAGGAAAAAGACTAATTATGACAAAGTAAAAATCAAAATCAGCAGGCCGCTATAAACCAGAGACACATTAAAGGGGGTGGGGGGAGTAGGATCAAAACAAGGGTGGTGGGAATTTTATGGGGACCATAACCAAGATGAAAATGCATACATTGTACAAAAATGAAAAATGATGTAAAAAATATATAAAATTAAAAAAAGATAGAAAAATCCCCCAAGATTCTGTGGGCCTCCAAAGGAGGCACAAGCCTAAGGATTCAGAAAAGATATCCTGAGGACTGGATCCAATGGTTTGAGCAAAGTTTATCCCAGAGAAGATGAACTGGATGAGTGTTTTAGGCCAAAAAATCAGTAAATATGAAAACGGGGAAGTGTGAAGTTTCCTCAGTGCCTTGGTTTCTCAAGATTCCCTTGCTCTCTTTCCAGGAAGGATGCTATTGCTATAGTTGGTATAGCTAAGATGGATGCCAAAGTGATTTTTCACAAAGAGTATCCAATCAATACTATCATCATCCACGAGGACTTTGATAATGACACAATGGCCGATAACATAGCCCTCCTGAAGACAGACACGGCGATACAGTTCAACGACCTGGTCAAGCCCATTTGCTTCCTCGGCAGAAAGCTGCATATACCACCAACCTTGCAGAACTGCTGGGTGGCAGGATGGAATCCCACATCTGCAGTTAATGGCTTCCTTCTCCTAGAGAAGGCTGTGTGTGTGCTAGCAATGGGGTGACTTGGAGGAACCGTTCTAGGGCTTATATTAATTCAGGTTGCTTGAGGGCTTAGAGTTGGGCTCACCCAGTCAGTCTTAACATATCAGTCAGGATTCCCAGTGCTCACCCTTTCTGTGGCTGTTGTTACATTTGGTCCTTTTACTCCTAGTCCTCTATCAAAATTGGAAATATACAGGCAGCAGACAGCCTGAAATGAATGCAAGGTTGTGGAGGGAGTAGGGGGCATTGTTTCCTGAATTAGAGCTGACTGTTCTCTTCTCTAAGCCACCCTCGTTTTCCTTTCACCCTGGGAAATAAACAAGGAGATGTAGTCTCTACAGATATAGAGGAAGGGGGAATAGGTTCTCTGCCTATTTTCACATTCAAGTTCAAAGCAAAGGTAGTTTTCAGTAAAAACTCAGACAGAAGTTCTGATTTCTATGAGGAAAAGGGGTTTATCAGATTATTTTCTACTCATTCCCATCGGGATGTGAGTTTCAGTTGAGCTGACTTAGGGAATGTCTTCTTGTTAATAATTCTTGGGCTCTCTGTTGCATGGTCCAGACAGGACATCACATGACGATGAGTATCCTGAGGAAAATCTCCGTGAAAGACATGAACCTGTGTCCCTTAAGCAAAATCCAGAAATCAGGATGTGGCAATCATGCAGAGAATGAAATTAATTCTGTCTGCTTGGTAAGAATATGATGGGGTAGAAGCTAAATGCTGAGAGCAACTAACAGTCATTTCAAGGGGAGCTTCAGGCCTCCCCCTGGCTGATTGGTGAACACTGTGAGGGCAGCAGCTGTGACTTGGGATTCATGGCTGTTTCAAGAGCATTTGGCTATATTGCTCAATAAAAATCTGCACACTGGACTAGCCAGTCGCCATTTTTAGTGTGACATGATTAAGAAGGGCTACATTACAGATGTTTCTCACTAATTACAATTTTTAAAGTGTAAGTCCAAACCAGACATGCAGATATATTTTAAGTCTGTCTCTAGTGTAGGATCCTAACATTCAACTTCTATTGAACCTAGACTCTGCTGCTATTGTGTATCTATTATTGGGTTGTTTCTTTTTTCTGTAAGAAGTCCTGTCCTCCACCCAGATGAAGCTATCCTTCTACCTAAGGAAACTGTGTAGATTTCACACACACCCAATCCGGGTCCCCTCATAGCCTGCCACAGGGAAAGTATGACTCACAGGTCGCACAATGAATGAACATTAAATGTTAAATCTGGAGATCTACCAGATTTCCAAGCATAGTTTCCCTGCTCTAAAATTGCCTTTCTAGGATGCTGATCACTCACTCACCCTCTAAGTAACATTCAGGATTCCCCCTAATGGGGATTTTCCCCCTGCCTCGGATGACCTGGGGAAAGTTTTTTTTTATAAAAAATACATGTATGCATGCATTTCTTTCTAAAAGTCATTTTCTTATAAAATCATGAAGGACTGCCTTTCATGAAGCAGTAAGTTTGCCCTTCCAAAGGTGATTCAATATTTGGGTGACTACTTTGTACTGGGCTCTCTGCCAGATGGACAACCTTAATGGCTTTTTAAGTTAGATAATGTGTTAAAACATAATAGAAGGCATAGCTATTTAATAAATCCTGCCATCTGCCATTCCAACAATCTAGTACCATACTTCATCAAATCGAAGGTGCTATCAATTGTAGAATGCACCCTTATTTGATGTAATACCAAGAGAGAAAAAATTACTGCCAGTCAAACCCTGATATTAATCGGAAAAAAGTACCCCATTTCAGAGATGTTAATTTTTTAAGTGCATCTTAGATACAAAGGAATATGCAAAGGTAAGATAAGCTGTTTCTACTCTAAATGATGATCACTTATTTAAATCTACTTGCAAATCAGATCGTTGTTAACTGCAGCACATTTGTAGACAATCCCTTTGCTGAACAGAATCGTGTATGCAAATCATCTCAGACAAATAAACCATGATTTGTCTACCTAGGAGCCTTTCCTCTCTCAGAAATGTGTCCTAGCCTCCAGAGGTCCTCAGAGTCATTCTTCTCACATGGAGAATAGACGGCCCAGGTTCAGCACCTGCCTAACTGGTCCTCAGAAGCTCAACAAGAGCAGAATCACTCTGAACTCACTCTCAACTAGAGTTGCGATGGTTTTTTTCACAACTGTCAGGACCTTTGCTGAATGTCAGGATTAGGCAGGACCCATGAAAGAGCGCTCCTCGCTGGGGCTTCACCCCAGGGAGGAGGGGTAGGACTGCTCCAATATAGCGCCTGGTACTTTTTGTCTACACTGCTTGTGCAGTGTAGATTAGGTTGCAGCCGCAGATTAGGAGGAAGAGAAAAAAATCATCATCTTCTGTCCTGCGAGGTATGCAGCAATAGTTGGGGTGTCTACCACCATACAGTCGTTCATCAAACTGTCCTAAATTGCGTTCTTTTTCTTCCTCAACCCAGTTAAATGGGAATGAGGCTGGTGAAAGGAGGGGAGAGATCATGCCCTCTTGGCCAGGCAGCAGATAAGGGCCTGCCCTCCAGTCCTAAGATAACAATCCAGAACGCTGGGATGAACGCTCCACCCCCTCTGTCATGTGGCAGCACAGGGTGAAAACAGTAGAGTGTGAAAAATCAAGCCCTCTGCACCAGGCACTCCCTTTGAGAAGCACAGAGTGAAGTCCAGAATGCCATCCCCATGTATCTGCCCTGAGGCAGCCAGGAAACATGGTGGCCTTGCAGAGCAGGATTCTCTTGCTGCCCTGGCAGAGTCACTCCTGTCTTTTTCCATTCACCTGTGTTACTGCTCTAGTGTGGCTTCCTCAGGACAAGGGAGGTTTAGTGAAAAAGGATGCACGCGTTATAGAAACCCCCAAATGACTGAACCACCCAGGCCTGGGGATGGGCAGGGTATAGGGCACCCACTGTCTGCCTCTCTCCTCCATGCTGTTGAGTCTGCCTGGATTGTTTCCTGTTGTCATCTGCAACCCCCTCCATGCCCAAGTCCAAAAAGTGAGAATAGTATGTGACTGTTCCTCTTTCCCAGGCAGGTAGGCCCCCAGGTCAAAGGTGACCAGTCACACTATGGATGACACTTCCTCTTGGGGGAACCACGATGGCAGACCGCAGGGCAGGGTGGGTTAGGGGTGTAGGTATTCCTCCAGAAAGGCAGCTTGGGGTGACAGGGCAGGTAAGGTCAATTACATTTAGTGGTTTCCTCATTGCTTTCCCCATATATCTCAACTTTTCACATAAAGATGATGGCTTTTTCTTGAATATGGCTAGTTTTTTAGTGCATGCACACAGCCTGACGGGCATTGTGCTAGGTGTGCTGCATGGGTTCTGGGCAACTGTACCCAAACTTTAGTTGAGAGAGAATTTAAGTGTGCCGAGCTTCTGTCCCCCTCACCCGAAGTGAGGGAAGGCCTCTCTGTGGCACAATTCCCGCCCCCAGAGAGCTGCTAGCAGGACGCAGGGGAAGCCGTGAGTATGCAGGGCCCGGGAGCAGATGTGCAGACAGGTGGGTGGAGGAGCAGCGGGCCTCCCTGGTGTGTGCTCCTGGGGAAGTCTGACTCTGACCCCAGGGGGAATCTGGGCAAACAGCTTAAACAAAAGATGGAAGCAAAATAGGGAAAATGTGAGCATTCTGGGCCAGAAAGGAAAGGAATGTTAACATTTGCGGAAGGAAAAACCAAAAGAGAGGGAGGATTTAGTCCGAGTACGGGAAGGAAGCAAGAAAATGAAATGTGAACCAGGAAGCTACAGGCAAACTGCAAGGCAACAACCTCCGTGTATAGTAAGAGGAAAAGCCGTCTTGCTGGAATCTGTGGTAGTGGCTGCCTAGTTTGGAAATAGTATCCTATAATTTACCCCGTTTCCAGTTGAGAACCAGTCTAAAACATTCCTAGTACAAATTGCACGAGGATGTATTTTTTTTAGGAGTTTTTCTAAGACCTGAAGACCTCTGTCCTTTGCCACAGGGCGACCCAGGGAACCCAATGATGTGCCAGCTCCAGCATCTGAATGTGTGGGTGCTGAGAGGAATCCTGGCCCATGGTGGTGAGGAGTGCCCCGGCCTCTTTCTGTACATCAAGGTGGAAGACTACAGTGACTGGATCACAGCCAAGACTAAGAGGACCAGCCCGCCCCTGTCTTCCTTCCACCACTGGAACAATCCGATTCCCTTCTTCAACCAGTTGGCCCACACCACCGTGACAGAGAAAAAATACACTGGGCTGTCCCAGGTTGGATTGTCCCAACCATTCTTCCAAGGACAGAAAGGGGTGACCATACAATCATGGCCAGCGAACGGCTCCAGAGAGAAAGCAGACTTTAGGGGAAGGGGTGCCATGTTGTTGAGCACGTCTCCTGACATGGCCGTACAGCCCATGTACTATGACTATTACGGTGGGGAGGCTGGGGAGAATGGGGCTGTGTCAGGTCAGAACTGGTTACATCAGCCCCAAGAAATTATCTTGTTTTTCTTTGTGCTCGTTTTCTTTTGCAGTGGTATCGAATCTAGGAACTAACGCTCTAAAATGAAGAGTAAGCTCAGAATGCTGAGTGCCAGGCATTCACCGTGCTATTTTTGGTGCGTGTTTTGGATAGTTGCACACCGGGGCTGCCACGGACAGACCCACAGCACGTAGAGGGACGGCTCTTCCTTCTCTGCCCCACTCCCACATTCGGGAAGGTCACTTTCATTTGTGCTTGTGAACTAAATGTGGGCTAACAAGTGTCAAACCATTCATTAGAGTGCCCTGTGGTTCTTTCAGTGTTAACCGTTCCAGGGGCCAGCCTGTGAAAACTCTCCACGGGCAGATGTGGCCTGGGAGGTGACCATATCAGCCTGGCTGGAGATCTTGGGCACCAGCCAGCAGTGAGAGGATCCCATGAGAAGGAAGGAACGGATTACTTTAATGGATCACTTTTTGGTCTCCAAGTGTGCCCCTCCTCTGGCTGTTTCCTAGGGGGGTAACTTCCTGCAACTGTTCGTTGGCTGTTTTCATTTTATTCCAAGCCTTGCGGTAGCCTTTTAAAGACATCTGTCAAAAGGAAATGGGAGAGGGGGAGAAGAGAACATCATTTGGGAAAAACTGATTGTGACTATTCAGAATGCAACCCGCATCCAGTCCTATGACGGTGCGGGCCCTAAAGTGTTTGTTTCTGTTCAGTGAAGTGAGAAGTTGCAAGTTCCTGATGTTCCTCTGCTACTTTTCGGCTCCAGAGCTGACGGACCTAAGTCTGGATCCTAATTAAGGCCCTGTCACAAGTCCCGTGGGAAGTGCGGCTGGGGTCTCGATGTGGAAACACCAAATCAGCCAAGTGACCTGACTGGATGTTTAAGCTACTCCAGGGCTGTCTAAAGTGCCCTCAGCATGCAACTCTGTGGCCTGTGGCATCTCTGGGTTTCCTTTTTTTCTGATGCCAGCACAGCGTTTGCACATTCCCCAGGCCTCTTCGCAGCTCACCGGGGGTCAGGGGGCTACTGTGCACACTGTATCTTATGAAAAGGCTGTGGGCAGAGTCAAAACATGAAAAGACCTATGTGTAAATGCAACTGTGTAAATGCATGGAATCAGGTTCTGAGTGACATTAAAAATCCATTATTACCTAATTTTTTAAAACACTGGCTTCTCCATGTATAAAGTAGCAATCACTAACTCATCAATGGTGGGGGGAGGTGTTCAGTAATTTCCAGAATTCATCAAAAAAACATGCAACTACAAATATGCTATGACTAGAGTCTTTTCCTGATAAACGAGGAAAAGTTTGTCTTAAGGATGAAAAGGAAGCTTTAAGGAGAAAAAGCCATCCTTCATTTTGGTATAAGTTGAAGCAACTGCTGAGACATCTTGCTGATACTCTAGAGTCCAGAGAGCAGTGTTCTTAGCTCAAAACCAAATCCTAGCCAAGAATGCAAAGGGCATGAAAGACTACCCCCCCAGGGGTCTCTGGACTGACCTCTGCAATCTCCACTTTCCTCTCCCACATCTTAATGGTCTTCTCCAGCTCTCCGTTCAGGATCTTCTCGTGGACATACATCATCACTGGCGGGGCTCGGAACTCTGCCAGTTGCTTCCGGAGTTTCTTGTTTGAAGCCTCGGCTTTGGCCCGGTCCTGGTGGGGCAGGAACAGTTAAATCCCGGGACCCCTGGCAGTTCCCGCTTGCTGGGCCTAATTGGCCCCAGCATCTCTTCCCAGTTTTAATGTGTACTTCTAAAAAACAGTGTTGACATTTTCAAAGGAGTGGGGGTAAGTCACAAAATTCTGATTCTTTATAGATCATGAGGTTTCTACCCAGTTCAGAAACACTAAGCTCAATCTAAAACAGTCATCTCTTCCAGCATTAAGAAATGTTTTATTTATCTTGATTTCTTAGGTTAGCTTTTTTAGAAAAATTAGTATTTCAGTACACTTTGATTGGGTCAGTCTCAATTCACATTCCTGTCTGGTTATTTTTTTTTTATAAAATATACATAACAAAATTTGCCATTTTAACCATTTTCTTTTTTTAAGATTTATTTATTTATTTATTTATACAAGCACTGGGTACAGTTAGAAGTGCAGGAGGGTGAGAGAATTCACCAGAGTCAGAGCAGGAAGCAGAACAGGCAGACGGACGGTGTACACTGCTGAGGGGAGCAGTGGACGGCAGGAGAGGTCTGCACGCCATGTGGGACCCTCGCCGGCAGCCGGGGATCGAACCAGCGCTGCAGAGGCTGCGCGCAGCTTTGCAACCCAGAGCTCAACCGCTGTGCCACTGGGGAGGCCCCATTTTAACCATTTTCATGTTTTCAGTTCTGTGGCATTAAGTACATTGTTGTGCAACTGTCACCACCACCCAGCTCCCCAGCTGAACATCTGTACCACTGAAACACTAACTCCACATAACCCTCCCCTCCAGCCCTGAAAACCACCTTTCTACTTCCTACTTCTAGGAATTTTTTTTAATCACCTTTTTTTTTTTTTTTAAGATTTATGCATAAAAGAGCTGAGGCACAGGCCAGAGATGTGGCGGGTGAGAGGATCCACCAGAGACAGAGTGGGGAACAGAACAGGTGGACTGACTGAAATACACTGCTGAGGGGAGCAGCAGGCGAGACAGGGGAGGTCTGCTGCTCCATGTGGGTAGCTCCCTGGCCGGGGATTGAACTCATGTTGCAGTGGTTGCTGATATCTTCATAGTGCTGAAACTTAACCCCCCTGCATCGCCAGCCCTGATAATTCCCTTTTTTGACCCAAACAGTAGCATATTCAGTTTTAATCAGCCAGCTTTTTTTTAATCTCAATAAATCTTGAAGGTTCTTCCTTAACAGCACATAAAAATTTTACTCATCTTTTTTAATGGTATAATTTTGCATAATTTCACAAGGCCCCAGAACATTCACTTAGTTTTTCCAATCTCTGGCTATTACAGCAAACAGTGCTGTGATTACTAATCTTCTGGGTCTAAATAATGTTGTAAATATGTAAATGTATCAGTAGGATAAACTATTAAAAGTGAACTTGCTGGTTCTCAAGCATTGGTTCTCAACCTGGGTCATTCTGCACCCAGGAGATATTGACTGGAGACCTTTTTTTTTTTTAAAGATTTATTTATGCATACAAGAACTGCAGTACAGGCCACAGGTGTAGGAGGTGAGAGGATTCACCAGAGACAGAGTGGGGAACAGAACAGGCAAACAGACTGAAATACACTGCTGAGGGGAGCAGCAGGCAAGACAGGTCTGCTGCGCCATGTGGGTAGCTCCCTGGCTGGTGGGGGCTCGAACTCCTGCTGCAGTAGCTGCGGATAGCTTCACAGTGCTGTGCTTAACCCCTTGCACCATCAGAGAGGCCTGTGACTGGAGACATTTTTGTCACAAATGGGGACTGCTACTAGCTTCTCTTAGGTGGAGACCAAGAGTGCTATTCATCACCAGACATTGCACAGGACAGCACCCACAATGAAGAATAATCTGACCCAAAATGTCACTAAAGCCTCTCTGAGAAACCCTGCCCTAAGTTATGTGCATGCTGGGTAAAAAGTGCCAAATCGTCATCTGTACCATGCAAGCCAGTTACATTATGGCAGCAATATCTGCAACTGCATGTTTTTACCCATTCTCTCAACAGCCTTACCAGCTTTTTGATCTTTGTCAAGATGATGGGAATATCTTGTAATAGTTTTATTTTGTGTTCCTTACATTATGAATGAAGTAGAATATTTTCACATATTTTTGAGGCTTTTTCTGCAAAGTGTTTGAATATTTGAATATTTTGCCCTTTTTTTTCTATTTTCAGATTTTTCTTAATTTATAAAAGTTACTTATGTTTTAAGAACATTAGCTCTTTGTGATACTCGATACACTACTTTTCAGTTTATCTTTTGGCTTCACTTATGATGGTTTTTGTCACATAGAAAACTTTTCATTTTGTAAAACTAGCTTCACTGATGACTTGGTTTCTGGGTTTTATAATTTAAAAGTGCCTGACTTTAATTAGATCAGAAGGTGGAGCAATTAAGTTGTTGCTGAAAGCAACAGAGTAATCAATGAGCAATTAATGGAGGCTAACAGCTGGATATGATACCAAAAAGGCAGACCAGCCCAAAACCTTTGCTGGAAGATGAAGAGTCAAAAAGAACTCATCCCTAATTACTAGGAAGATTATATCCATGTTCAAGGTTGTATTCTGAGAAGCAACATCAGAGGCTACTAACAGCAGGAGAGAGAGATTTTACTGAGTTGGTCCAGATGAATCAGTAAACAAGCAAAAAATAACAAGTCCAAGAAAGAGATGGGGGGATTGTTATCTACATTTACCATAATATATTATCTAAAATGTCCAGTTTTCAACAAAAATTATAAGCAAAAACAAAGCATGAAACAGGAAAGTATGACATCCACAGGGAAAAAAAAAATGGGCAACATAACTGCCTTTGAGGGCATCCAGATGGTGGACTCAGCAAAATCCTCAAAGAAGCTATTATAAATATGTTTAAAGAACCAAAAGAAACTATGTTCAAAGAATTAAAAGCATATATTATAATAATGTCTCACCAGAGAACATCCATAAAGAGAAATTCTTTTTTTAAAAATAACCAAATGGTGGAAAATCCAGAATTTTTCAACATAACAATTGAAATGAAAAATTCACTAGAGGGGATAAATGTAGAGTCAAGCCAGCAGAAGAATCAGTGAACTTGAAAATAGTTTGATAAAGATTGTGTAGTATGAGGAACAGAGAAAAAAGAAAAACAAAAATGATTCCCAGAGGAATTTGAGACACCACTAAATACACCAACATATGTATTATGTATATACATATATATGTGTATATATATACATATATAATGGGAATAAGGAGAGGAGAAAGAGAAAGACAGCAAAAAAATTTTAAGGAAATAATGGCTGAAAACTTCCCCAATTTTTTTTCTTACATCGTTGCTCATTTTTCTACATTATTTGATTTCGCCCCTCAGGTATAATCCTCATAGTTCTCCCACCACCATATCACGGGTGAACCATCACCATAGTCCCTTGTGCTCTTCCCTCCCCTGTTTTGACCCTCCCTCCCCTTCTCTTGCTGTATGCCTCTGATGTATGGTCAGCTTGCAAAAAACTTCCCAAATTTGATGTAAAACATTAAGCTACATCTCCAAGAAGCTCAAAACTTCAAGTAAGACACATGGCAAAGAAATCCTCACCCAGACGCATCATACACAAAATGCTGAATCACAAGACAAAGATAGAATATTGAAAGCACAACAGAAAACAATTTATCACATAAGTTGACCGCTCATCAGAAATAATGGAGGCCAGGAGGAAGTGGATGAATAGTCTAAGTGCTGAAAAAACCGCTAACCAAGAATCTTATATACAGCAAAACTATTTTTCAAAAATGAAATAAAGCAATGAGTACACTCAGATCTTGGTTTCTAATGTTACTCTCAAGAGGAACAAGTACTCTGGAGAAATGGCCGATTCTAGGGCATGGGCAGCAAATATACAAGATGAGCCTGGAGCATCTTCTAATGTCGGAAAGCAAAGTGCTCAAAAATCAAAATAAAACAAAACAGGGCCTCCCTGGTGGCACAGTGATTGAGCACTGGGTTGTGAAGCTGCCCGCAGCCTCTGCAGCGCCGGTTCGATCCCCGGCCACTAGGTGAGGGTCCCACATGGCGTGCAGACCTCTCCTGCCGCCCGCTGCTCCCCTCAGCAGTGTACTTCATCAGTCTGCCTGCTCTGCTCTCCACTCTGACTCTGGTGAATTCTTTAACCCTCCCGCACTTCTGACTGTACCCAGTGCTTGTATAAATAAATAAATAAATCTTAAAAAAAAACCCAAAAACACAAAAAGCCTCCCTAATGGCACAGGGATTAAAGACAGTGCCATTAAGCTATTGCCAGCCACTGTAGCACTAGTTCAATTCCCGGCCGGCCAGGGAGCAACCCACATGGTGCAGCAGACCTCTAGAAAAGAAGTAGAAGAGAGAATAAAAGACAGATTAGTGGGTTTTGATTTGCATTTCCCTGATTACAAATGATGTTGAACATTTTTTCATACGCCTGTTGGCCATTTGCATTTCCTCTTTGGAGAAGTTTCTTTTTTGCTCTTCTGCCCATTTTTTGACTGGATTATTTACTTTGTTTTTGTTGAGTCTCATCAGCTCTTCGTAGATTTTTGTGATCAGTCCTTTATCATTAGTGTTGTGTGCAAAAATTTTCTCACAGTCGGTGGGGTGTCTCTTTGTTTTAATTACTGTCTCTTTTGCTGTACAGAAGCTCTTTAATTGATGTAGTCCCAGCTGTTTATCTTTGCCTTCACTATCACTGCTTTGGGTGATGTGTCTTTAAAGATGTTACTGGTATGTCATGTAGTGTTTCGCCTGTATTTCCTTCTATATATTTTATGGTTTCAGGTCTTATGTCTAGTTCTTTAATCCATTTTGAGTTGGTCTTTGTGCATGATGTGAGGTAGTACTCAATCCACTCCTAGGTATTTACCCAAAGGACACCTGCACCCCTCTGTTTATAGCAGCGCTATTTATAATAGCTAAGCTATGGAAACAACCCAAATGCCCAAAAATAGATGACTGGATCAAGAAGATGTGGTACATATATACCATGGAATATTACTCAGCAATCAAAAAAGATAAACTCATGCAATTTGTAGCAACATGGAGCTGGAAGGGATCATGCTCAGAGAAATAAGCCAGAAAGAAAAAGGAAAATACCAGATGGTCTTACTCATAGCACGAATTTAGAAAACCTAAATAAGGGACCAGAAAAAGGACTAATTATAATGAAGTAAAAATCAAAATCAACAAGCAACTATAAACCAGAGACACACTACAGGGGGGAGGAGAGGAGGGAGTAAGATCAAAACAAGGGGGGCGGGTGGGAATTGTATGGGGGACTATAACCAAAATGAAAATGCATACATTGTGTAAAAATGAAAACTGATGTAAAAAATTTATAAAATTTTAAAAATAAAAATATAAAAATAAAAATAAACAGATTAGATTAATTTAGACTTCATCTAAATTAAAAATGTTTGTTCTACAAACAATACAATGAAGAAAGTGAAAAAAAATCCCACAGAGGATTGTATGCAAAGCATGCATCTGATAAAAGATTTGAATCTAGAATACATAAAGATTCTTACTACTCAGTGATGAAAAGATAAGTAACTCAAATAAAAACTGGGCATAGGAGTTGAATATTCAACATATACTCAATGTCATTAGTTATCAGGGAAATTCAAATCGAAACCACAATGAGATACTACTTTACACCCACTAGGATGGGCACAAAAGAGAAACAAACACACGAAAATTCCCTGAAATAACAAGTGTTAGAAAAGATGTGTGGAAATTAGAACCCTCATGCTTTTTTGGTATGGATGTAAAATTGTGCAGTCAGGCCTCCCTGGTGGCCTAGGGATTAAGTCTCAGCATTATCACCCCTAAGGTCTGAATTCGATCCCCAATCCCCGGCCAGGGAGCTACCCACATGGCGCGGCAGACCTCTCCTGTCATTCCTGCTGCTCTCCTCAGCAGTGTATTTCAGTCAATCCGCCTGTTCTGTTCCCCACTCTGTCTCTGGTGAATCACCCTCCCACACCTCTGGCCTGTACCCCAGTTCTTCTGCACAAAAATAAAATAAAATGGTATAGCTGCTTTGCCAGACAGTTTGGCAGTTTCTCTAAATGTTAACATAGAGGTACCATATGCAACCCACAATTCCACTTTTAGCTGTTATGTCCGAGAGAAAAGAAAACATACATTCACACAAAAACTTGCACACCATGTCCATAGCAGCACTATCCATAACAGCCAACAAGTAGAAGTAATGTCCATCCATATGTCCGTCAACCAATGAGTAGATAAAAGGTCAGGTATATCCAACAAGGAAATATCATTCAACCATAAAGATAAACAAAGCAAGGATGCGTGCTACAACACAAGTCTTGAAAATATTACTAAAATTAAAGAAGCCAGTCACAAAAGACCATGTTTTTATGGTCCCCTTTACATAAAATGTCCAGAACTGGCAATTCAGGGATGTCAAGTAAATTAGGAGTTGCCTAGGGCTGGGGGGTGGGAATGAGGTGAGGCATGGAGAAGGATTGGGGTCGGGGCTATTTCCTGGGTGATGAAAATGCCCCCAAATTATTATACTGATGGTGACACAATTCTGTGATTCTGCTATAAATCAAAATGTACACTTTAAATGAGTGAGTTATATGGTGTATGAATTTTATCCCAATAGAGCTGCTAAAAAAATTAACAAGAGGCGCAGGAGACCTCTACTGTCGCACCCGCTGCTCCCCTCAGCAGTGTATTTCGTCAGTCTGCCTGTTCTGTTCCCCACTCTGTCCCTGGTGAATCCTCTCACCCTCCCATGAATCTGGCCTGTACCCCAGTTCTTGTATAAATAAATAAATAAATCTTTAGAAAAATTAACAAGAAAAATACAACACGCGAGGCAGTGAATGCCAGGCTTTTACAACTTCTGTCTGATTCTGCACGTTTTACCCTCCCGTACCTCCTCTACTTGAATAGTTTCTTTTTCAATTTTTTCAAGTAAGTCATTTCTCAGCAAGATCTCCTTCTCCAGACTGACAGTCATTTCCATTGCATGGTGCAGTTTGCTCTGAAATAAAACAACAGGTTAAGGCTTGAGCAAAGGTGACTGCTCAGAACTATAGGAAGGAGAGATGGCTCTTTATTAAGCAGGAGAAAAGCAGTGCTGTCCAGGAAGCTGGGCCTGCCCGTCTCATGGCGGCCCAGATTTTCAGTCTGTGTGGTATGGGAGAAGATGCTCTGGGGAGCCCTGTCCTCACCTACAGAGTGATCATGCACACCAGGCTCCAAAGCCCACCATACCACTTACTAAAGAGAAACTTTCAGTTCCAGAGTTTCTCTAAACAGAGCACGAAATGTAGTTAGTTATCAAAAGTCAGTGCATACATATGATGCAGGGAATTTAAACCAAAAAAAAAAAAAAAATGCATGGCCTTCACCCCCTTGTTCATTTAGGGGGTCTAGAGCATCGTATAGCTTTCAAAAAGGAAAAAGAAAAATTACCTCTTATGATTCTAATGTGCTTCCAGGCATCTGGAGCCATTTAGAGAAGTTCAGGAGACATAGCTTTGCTGAGAGAAAGTAGTGAGCAGTGGGAGAGTGAAGGACACCTAACCTTTTGCATGAAACTGCAGGGTACACAGGGACTCAACATGGCCAGAAAGGTGGATGGGGAAGCCTTAGGGACCTGGACAAGGGGCAGGTCTTACTTTGTATGCATTGAGGACCTGCAGGGTGTTTCCAGATGCCAATTTTAGCTGGATCAATTCTTGATTCTTTGCTTCAATCGCCTCTAAAAACTGAGCATTCTCGATCTTCAGTTGCTGAAAATCAACATCATGGAGGGCCTCGCCCACCTCTTCCTTCTACAGCTCAGGAGGGAAAAAAATGATGTGAGGTGTGGTTTCTGAAGAGCCGGCTCACATCTTGCAAAAATTGGCTCATCTCTTGCATATTGGCTCACATCTTGCAACTCTGGGTGAGATTTGGAAATTTAACATTATTCAGTCATTCAACAAACATGAATTGGGTATTAGCCTGGTGCCAGGGCTGGTGCTAGAGATAGGGATTTGAGTGCATATGATATTCCCTGACCTCAGGCAGACTCAACGAGAGTTTATTAACAGGTGACTCTGACGCTCATCCTCCTGCCTTCCCCTTACAGGTTCCTTTTGATTACACTGGACCCACTGCAGTAAACCAAGATGATAGCCTCATTTCAAGAGCCTTGACTTAGTCACATTGGCAAAATCCTCTTGCTATGTGAGATAACATACAGATTTGAGGGATTAGGACATGGAGGGAGGAAGGAGAACAGGAGGAGTAAGGGGGTGGTGCTAAGGAAGGAAGGGCAGGAGGAAAGAAGACTAAAAGAGCGAAAGCAAGCAAGCCGCATACCTGCCTCAATTGTAAAAGCACTTTTTTCCTCTGGACTTTGAGAGAAACATTCTTCAAACGTAATTTATCCTTTATGTTATCCTAAAAAATAAAAGCATAATTTAACCCCTTTCTCTTCTTCTTCCCTGTTGGCTTGAAAAAATTAGTAGGTCTGGAGTAAAAAACCAAACCCTGAACCCCAAGAATCAGTCACTTATTTTCCAGTCATTCTGCATCCCCAAGCTGGTGTTGCCATGACGTTTCACTCTCCAAGAAGCAGAGGAAACCGGGTCAGCTCCATGCAAATTTTCCATTGTTTTGAATTCAAGAGAATTTAGGTATATAATTTGGGTCTAGGGCCCTTTCCTGACAAAATGATGTGATGATTCTTTGTTTTTTTAATTCTCTTGGCAGTTGACATAATTTTTACTACTTAAGCTTAGTTTCCCTACCTATCTTCAGGATCCAAAGCTCGATGGCTATAAAATCTTTGGAATTGAAGAAGCATTTTGTTCCTCATTTTTACAATGGAACTCAGAGAGCTTGAGATTTACCTGCCCCATTCCATGTAGTCACGTGACTAGTAGGATCCCACCCTTCTCAGAAATTCGTCAGATCTTGAAACAAATCGCAATAAAAGAAGCTGATCTGAGAGACTATGACTATCCATTCCACTTGGTTGATTTTAACTTTCACAGACCTGAATTGTGAAACACACACACGCTTCTGGGGATGCAAAATATGGCTCTGAAGGTGATATTTACAGCAAACCCAACAAAGCAGGGCTACCTCATGTGGGTCATTTTCATGTTATATGAATCCACTCTCCCCTTCTAAGCACTAATCTGCTAACTCACCCTTCGGTGGTTCACGTCTTCGATGTACTTCAACATTTTCTGAGTGGCCAAGATACTCCCTTTCTTCCTGGGTATGTTTCTTAGAATATCTTTTTCAAATTCATACATTGCTCTCTGAATTTCATTCCATCGGATATCAGCCTCCTGGATGATAGCCTGGGGGAGTCAGCCCAATGAGAGAAGAGAATCTCCAAAAATATCCTCTAAAGAAACCTAAATTCTCAGGCCTCTTGGTGTCCCAATACATTAGGTTTCTTCTTAGTATTAAAATGATGGTCTTGGGCCTCCCTGGTGGCACCAGGGTTAAGTGTCATTGCTAACAAGCTACTGCCAGCCACTTCAGCACAACTGAAATACACTGCTGAGGGGAGCAGCGGGCAAGTCAGCAGCGGTCTGCCGCACCATGTGGGTCACCTCCCTGGCCAGGGATCGAACTTGTGCTGCTGTGGCTGCCGATAGCTTCACAGTGCTGCATCTTAACCTCTTGTGCCACCAGGGAGGCCCAATGTATATTTTTATAAAGAAATTCATACATGCATAGAAAATAAACTCTAAAAGGAGACAAATGCAAGGTCAGCTACAATTTCCTTTAGGTGGTAAGATGGTGGGTCTTTCCAAAAGTTCTTCTTTTTGCTTACCTATTTGTTTAAATTTTGTGGCAACACAGATTGCCTTTAAATAAGGAAACACACACATTATTTTAAAGAATGAAATGAGAAGGTATCTGTAGCTGCAGAGCAAATCATCCTAGTTCATGTTTTTTTCACTGAGCTTTATGCTAGAATTCAACAATGCATGTTTGGCAGGAGAGAGGAGGAGATGGGGGTGCGGAGGGAGCAGATTGGGAAGGAGAGAGAGATTTATACAGCACACGTGGTTCTGTTAATGGTCACCAACAAGCAAAACTGTCTTCCTTCACTGGCAGGCCTCTTTCCTCCAGTCATCTTCATATGTCAGAACATTAGTCCACCTCAGATGCTCTGTCCACACATCTCTCCTGAACACTGACCTGCACTGGGGGTTTTCTAAGCTATCCAAGATAGACTCCTCTGCCTGCTTTTCAAAGTCTCACAGGCCTATTCAATCTGTTTCCTAGTACAATTCCCCAATCACCCTTTTCTCTAATTACACTGGCCCCCACAATGTCATGAACTTTTCATGTTTATTCCCACGTTCATGTCATTCACCTGACCTAGGGGACGCTTCTTTTCATATTCCTTTTTTTTTTAAGATTTTTTATTCTTGCATAGAAGAACTGGGGTACAGGCCAGAGGTGCGGGGATGGTGGTGAGAGGATTCACCAGAACCAGAGAGGGGAGCAGAACAGGCAGATTGACTGAAATACACTGCTGAGGGGAGCAGCGGGCGAGCCAGGACACATCTGCTGCACCATGTGGGTAGCTCCCTGGCCAGCGATCGAACTCAGGCTGTCACAGTAGGCTTTCATTGTGGTAGTGCTGAGACTTAACCCCTAGGCCAGCAGGGAGGCCCCTTTTCCTATTCCTTAAGCAAGTGCTATCATTCTTCAAGGTCATGCCAAGTTCTATGTCCAGCCCCAATTCTTCAACAAAGTCTTCTTTGGCCATTCTAGACCACACCATGACATTGAATTCACACAACCTGGCATATCAGGTTCATGAGCTCCATGAACTTGCTAGAATTCAACAACGCGGGCCTCCCCGGTGGTGCAGCGGTTGAGCGCTGGGTTGCGGAGCTGCCCGCAGCCTCTGCAGCGCCGGTTCGATCCCCGGCTGCTCCCCGGCCACCGGAGGAGGGTCCCGCATGGCGCGCAGACCTCTCCTGCCGCCCGCTGCTCCCCTCAGCAGTGTACTTCGGTCCTTCTGCCTGCTCTGCTCCCCGCTCTGGCTCAGTGAATTCTCTCGCCCTCCCGCGCTTCTGACTATACCCAGTGCTTGTATAAACAAATAAATAAATAAATCTTTAAAAAAAAAAAAAAGAATTCAACAACGCATGTTTGGAAGGAGAGAGAAAGAGACGGTAGAGCAGGAGGGAGGTACAGCGAGAAGGAGGGATCTATTTATGCAGCACGCATGGTTCTGTTAGTGGAGACGTTAGTCCACTAATGTGTCCCTTTTGAGGCAATGAGTGTGATGCCGTGTGTGTCCACATGGAGAAACAGAAAAATTGAGAAATAGAGCAAAGCATCAATTTTTCATACAATAGGGCTCTCAAATGCAAGCCAACAACTTCATCCCAGGAACAGCTGAACTAATGATGATATTTCTTCTCTGGAGAAAAAGAGATTGCTGATTTCCAACATGGAGCATGGCTATGTGCTGCATATAAAGGATAATGAGGGATTTTTTGCCCAATTCACTGACTTAAACCTCAAACCTCTTGTATTATTAAGAAATTATTATAAATGTTAGGTTCTATTTTTTAAAAAGAATCCATATCTTAGATACACATACCAAAATACTTGCAGATACACAATGTGTCCAGGATTCACTTCATAATAGCTCTGAGGTCTATGATGAGTAGGTGGTAGGCTATGCAGGAAATAAGAGTGGCCATATGGTAATGACTGCTGCATGTGGGTGTTGAGTGCATAGGGGTTCACTGGGCGAGCCTCCCTATGTTAGTGTAGTTTTGAAATTTTCCATTTTAAAAAAGTTTAGAATGTGTTGTCTCCCCAAGCAGGTGGTAAGTTCCTTCAAGGTAGGTCCTCAACTTGTCCAATCCTACTTGTGTTTCTTTCAAAGTACCAAACAAAGATGAACATGCTATAGGTACTTCTTGATAAAGGACAACTGGGGAGCCCAGAGGGGTGGCCTCCAGAGAGAAAGGTGTACCTCGTGGTGCTGCAGGTCCCGTTCGGCATTTGCCCTCATGTGCCTTATTTCATCTTTTGTGTCTTCCAGCTCCTTTTGCACAAGCTCGAGTTTTTGATCAACAATGAGACCTCTCAAACGGTCTGTGTGGGATCTGGATCTGTATCTGCCTCGAAACTGTCGTGCAAGAGAAACAAAACCATTGTTAAGTAGGAACTCACAATGAAGCAGCGTAAGGCCCTGTACTAAATGCTTCAAAGTCTTATGCTTGACAATGAACTGAAAATAAAAAAAGAAAAGTGTTTTGAGGGGAAAAGACTGTGAACCTATTAAAGACTAGTATTCAACTCAGTGTCAGGGAAAGCCTGGAGTTCAGGGCTTCCCAAACTGAATACAGAAAAGAGGTTAAATATGGGAGCGGGCCTCCCCGGTGGCGCAGCGGTTGAGCACTGGGTTGCGAAGCTGCCCGCGGCCTCTGTGGCGCCGGTTCGATCCCCGGCTGCTCCCCGGCCACCGGAGGAGGGTCCCACATGGCGTGCAGACCTCTCCTGCCGCCCGCTGCTCCCCTCAGCAGTGTACTTCGGTCCTTCTGCCTGCTCTGCTCCCCACTCTGGCTCTGGTGAATTCTCTCACCCTCCCATGCTTCTGACTGTACCCAGCGCATGTAAAAACAAAACAAACAAACAAATAAAATAAATAAATAAAACATGCCTCTATAAAAAAAAAAAAATATGGGAGCATGGTGTTCAGCAAAAAAAAAAAAGATAAAAATTTTGTACTTCCTATGTGTTTAAGCTACAGGTCACACATAGGCAGGTGGCCCCAGGAATATGGTCCATCAGAAGATAGAACTTCATACCGTTTTATTTTTTTTAATTTAATTACCCCTATTAAAAATCAGGACATCCCACCCAAATAATCCAGATTTCCAGCTTCCCTTAAAAAAATTTACTGTGCTGGGGACCTCCCTGGTGGCGCAGCGGTTGAGTGCTGGGTTGTAAAGCTGCCTGCGGCCTCTGCAGTGCCGGTTCGATCCCCGGCCGCAGCAAGGGTCCCACAAGGCGCGCAGACCTCTCCTGCTGCCCGCTGCTCCCCTCAGCAGTGTACTTCGTCCGTCTGCCTGTTCTGCTCCCTGCTCTGGCTCTGGTGAGTTCTCTCACCCTACTATGCTTCTGACTGTACCCAGTGCTTGTATAAATAAATAAATAAATAAATAAATCTTTAAAAAAAAAATTTACTGTGCTGGTAATACCAGGTCTCCTGTCTGGCCCTTCTAAGTGAGGGAGGAATGCTCCAGTGCCAGATGGGGTCCATTTCACTCCATGTGGTTGACTGGGCTTTGTAAACAGTTGAGCGGCCCAATTTTAGAGAATCATTTCAAACACACTAAGATATTCTGAGTAAGTCAATTCATTCTAAGTTAAAGCGGATTCCTTTTACACTCACTTGAAAGAGAAACCTTGTAGGGGAAAGAAGAATCAAAAGTAAAATAGGAAGAAAGTCATATGCCAGTTGGCCAAGGAGAGAACATTAAAGGCAGATAATCAAATAGCACTTACATCTAAAAGGACACAGAATGAAAGAATTCTTAGATCTTCATTGCCTACCTGTGCAAATTCTGGTCCTGTTATTTTAATTTCTGGTAATCGAGAATATTGAGGCTCCCTGGGCTCCAATTTATTGTAATATTTCTCAAACATTTCTGTCTCAGTTTTGAGAGCAGAATTTCCATAGCTGCAAGACAGAGGTACCTGAATAAGTTCTACTAGTAGTAATTGAAACCACAAATAACTAGTATTTAACATATACTAGCCATGTGTCACCTTCTGCAAGATACTTTGGTGCCTCAGTTTCCATATCCATAAAATGGGAATAATAATACCTATTTTTAGGGTTGTAACAAAGAATGCAAAACTTGGGGCCCCCCTGGTGGCTCAAGGGTTAAAGACACAGCGCTATCAAGCTAGAGTTGGATCCCTGCTGGTTAGGGGGAGCTAACACACATGGCCCAGCAGACCTCTCCTGCCTCCCCTGCTGCTCCCGTCAGCAGCGTATTTCAGTAGATCTGCCTATTCTGCTCCCCACTCTCTCTGGTGAATCCGCTCACCCACTGCACCTCCGGTCTACACCCCAGTTCTTGTATGCATAAATAAATTTTTTAAAAAAAAAATGCAAAGCTTTTAGTGCTTTTTAAGCAGTCGATACTTAAAAAAGTAAAGTGCTATTTAAGTATTCGATATTTAAAAAAAATACCTAGTGAGTCATAAAATTCTGAGTACTGGAGTTATATCGAAGACTGTTGCTGAGCTGAAGCTACATATTTCTTCTTCAAGTATTTCTAACCCATTTGTGAAATTCCTCGTGAATGACTATATTCTAGGAGTTACACATATGCACAAATTTCAGATGTTTCCTTTGGTTTGTGTTTTTCAGTTTTTTTATTTCCAGCACCCAATAAAATAGCCACTGGAAGTTTATTATAAATGGTAGGAAAGCTTTGAATAGATGTTTTTTTAAACAACTTGAGATAAACCTAATTTATTCTGTATGTGCCAAGATTATCACCTAACTCCTTAACTTCACAGAAATATAATATACATGCTACATATGTGCGTGATACACACATGTATATGTATATAGAAGAGAAAGAATAGCCTTGATATTTTCCTATATATTTCCTATATATTTTCCTATATATTCCTGCTTGGGTGAATTTTAAGATAATTGGAAAAGTCTCAATGGAATGCCCGACAAATCAATGAGTCTTTCTTTTTCAACATATGTCATTTTCCCAGAGTAAGTATCATCCTGACTAGCTATGTGATCTTAGGAAAGTGACTTAACTTCTGCATCTTCTGTTTTCTCATTCACCAACTAGGATTACTGTGCCTTATAGAAGATCATATATGTAAAAGAGTTGGCACATAATAAGCACCATATTTATTAGTAATAATATCCCAACTCTGACCTAAACTATTTATAGACATACAGAAAGTAAACCACTTGAGATCACAAAACCTAATTTATCTTGTATATGCCAAGCTACCAGCGCCAGGATATTCAGTGTGAGACCAGTAAGTTGTACAAATAACCTCAAGTGCATCATGAAATCTTGACATCTAATTTATTTGCTATGGTAGCTATAAAACTGCTAAAAAAAAAAAATACAAAGGATAGGGCCATTCTTTGCTGTTCCTTTCCATGCTTCTACTCTGCATCAGTCATAAATTGCCTCACACTAAAAATATCTCAATCGCTTCCTATCTTGCTGCCACGTCATTTTGTTAAAGAATCTTTGCATAGGAAAGGGGCTTAGACGTCACCTGGTCCAACCTGCCCCGCAGAGCCCAGGAGCAGGTGGGCACTTGCTTTGGCACCAGATCGGCCCCAGCACGCAGAAGCTGGGGCTTCACCAACGCCCCTCCCCGCTGGCCACCCCCACCCTTCGCGTCTCCACCCAATTCCGGCTCCATTAACGGTTTGTTAGCTCAGTGGCGGTGGAGATAAAGAGATAAAGAGCAGAGGCGAGTTGCTCCCCCACTTTGGTGGTGGTGGTGGTGGGGGGGGGGGGTGATGCTGGTGTGAGTTTCCTCCATGTTCAATGCGGATTCGGAAGTCTCCGGGCTGCAGCACCCAGGTCCCGGCCCGCACGGTGGGAAGGGGCGGTCCCCAGAAGCCGGCGGGCTGGTACCTGAGCTCTTCCACCAGCCCGACCAGCTGGATAACAGGCAGCTCGTGGTCCCCGTCTGCGGCATTGGCCTCAGAGTCTACGTCACTCATCACCGCCGAAGTGGCCCTTGCTAAAAGCCAAGCGAGGCCGAGAGCGACGGGTGCAGGCTGCCGCGCGTCACTCCGCCTGCGACCCTCCGAGCGTTGCCGGGGCGACCCGACGACAACCACGACGCACGAGGGGAGGGGCGGGGCTTCCGCAGTCCCCGCCCACCGCTCCCATAGGCGAGTGTATGTGAAAGGCTGACTCAGCTTACAGTCTTCCCATAATAACCATGATAATTACTGTTGTTATTTCTTAATACAATTATTACCAATTGGGTAATATTATTGCTTAATAAAAGCACTTGTAGCAATGATTGTTGCAGTTACTATTTATTGAGGGCGCTCTGTGTGCGGGACACTGAACCTAGCACGTTCTGCATTGCATCAGCATGGTGGGGCTGGGAGATGCAGGTTACTGCTTAACTCCCATTTTACTCAGGAGGAGTCTGAGGTTCGGAGAAGTTAAGCAACTTTCCCAAGATCACGCTGCTGTTCTGGGATGGGGCGGAAATCCAAACCTAGGGTCTTCCTGTTCTGCTCCGTCCTCTCATTATATCTGCAGTTATTTGAGGGGGAGGTGGGGGAAGGGAGCTATTTTGCTCTCCCCATCAAGGGGATATAGGGCCATGTCTGGAAACATTCTGTTTGTTGGAATGGAGGGGGGCACTATTCTACCCTTCAAATGAGAAGCAGAGGCGGTGCTTGTTTAAGCTCCTCAGGGCTGCCAAAACAAATTGCCACAAATGGGGTGACTTAAAACAACAGAAATGTATCGTCTCACAATTCTGGAGGGTAGAAGTCCAAAATCAAGGAGTTGGCACACTTTCTCTGAAGGTTCTGGGGAAGACTCTTTCCTTGCTTTTTCCTAGCTTCTGACAAATGGGCATTCCCAGCAATCCTTGGCATTCTTTGGCCTGTGACTCTATGGTTCCAATCTCTGCTTCCATCTTCACCTGGCCTCTTCTTTGTGTCTTTGCATCCTCTCCTCTTCTTATATAAGGATCCCAGTCATGATATTTGGGGCCAGTCTTGAGTCCAGGATGATTTCATCTTAAGATCCTTAATGTCTGTAAAGAATCTTTCCACATAAGACCATGTCCTGGGGTTCCACATGGGCATGAATTTGGGTGGGCACTTATTCAATCCATGACACTGCAAAACACCCTGCAATGCACATGGCAGTTCCCCACAACAAAGAACTATCTGGCCCCCAAATATCAATAGTGCCAAGGCAGAGAAACTGTTTTGGAGAAAGGCATTTTCTCAGGGTAGCAATTCAGGTAGCTAATTCAGATAGCTGCAGACAGAAAGGGTCTTAGAGTGTCTTCAAGTCCAAAGACCATGCTCCCCCCTCCCCTTTTCTGGAACCACTTGTTCTGACAGCCTCTGAATCTCCTTGTACCCCCTCCTGGCATTTTTGTAGCATTTTGCATTTTGGCTTAAGAATGATACTATCAGGTTCACTCAAAACTTCACCATAAATAAGAAATGCCTGGTCTTTTCCTGCCCAAGAGGAAAGTTGTTAAAAAACAGAAATCGGGTAAAGGAACTTGGGCTCAAGTGACTGACGATTTGCATGATATGGGAAAGGGACCAGCCCTACGAGGTGGACCATCACTAGATGGTTCCCAGAGCATTTTCCTCATTCTTTTAACGAATATTTATTGAGCATCTACTATGTGCTTGGTCCTGGAGATGCAGTGGAGAGCAGTGTGGCTGGTGTGCTTGTTCCCAGGGAGTTTCCAATCTAGTGTAAACAGCTATAATCCCAAGCGGTAAAAGCTCTCAAAGGGAATAAAAGATGTCCAGACTTCCTGGAGCAAGTGACCTCTAAGCTGAGATTTGAAATCCCAGCAGGATACAGATCCAGGAGAATCAGACATGTAGTCCAAACTCCAGCACAACCTGAGCTCCCAAGCAAAGACCAAGGGAAGAGAAGTGTTGAGGAGAGGGCTTGTGCAAAGACCCTGAGGGGAGAGTGAGCCAGTTTGGGGCACCAAAGGAAATGTTTATGCCTCATGCCTTTATTTTTTATTTTATTTTTTAAAGATTTATTTATTTATGCATACAAGAACTGGGGTACAAGCCAGAGATGCCAGGGGGTGGGTAATGAGAGGATTCACCAGAGACAGAGTGGGGAACAGAACAGGCAGATTGACTGAAATACACTGCTGAGGGGAGCAGCAGGTGAGTCAGGAGAGGTCTGCTGTGCCATGTGGGTTGCTCCCTGGCTGGGGATCGAACTCTTGCTGCAGGGGCTGCCGTTAGCTTCATAGGTTGCATCTTAACCCCTTGCACCACCAGGGAGGCCCCTATGCCTCATGCCTTTAGAAGGAGAAAGCAGAGACAGTAGTCGCTAATATCACCTTCCTCCGGGGGAGCCTCCAGGGGTTCCCTTTGACCTCCCTCTTCTTGGTGTGTCATTGGATGCTTTCTCTTGGTGTCCACGTTGTACTCAATTACCTTTTCTTAATTTCAGGAACCCACATCTAGGTTTGAGTCTCAGAGGCTTTTAGCTTTATCTAAAAGCACAGCAGGACATCAAGCATGACCAGAAATCCTTAGTGTCTCATCAAATGTCTCAAAATTGCTTTGTCCCAGCCAGGAGGAGGCAGAGGCAGAAAACCCGGTACACGGATAAGGTGGCCAACCCCACCCCCTTTGAAAGTCAAAATAGGAGGCATGTGGTTAAGGACGAGGAGCCACAACCATCCTCACTTGGGTCTCCTGTTCTTGCTAGATCAGAGAGGAGCAGAGAGGGTAAGAGCCTGCAGTCTGGAACCAAAGACCATAATTCAAATCCTGCTCTGCCTCTTCCTAGCTCTGTGACCTGGAGCAAGTCACCTTGCCTTACCCAGCCTCCTTTCTCATAACCACTCCCACAGGAGCCCAACACAGGGCCTGGCACCCCCAAAAGACCCAGGTCTTTGGCTGTGTTTCTTTCTCATCTTTGATTGTGAATCCAGACCCAGTCTCCTTCTTCCAGTTTCCAGGGTTGCTATCTGGGCTGAGATGCGGGAGACAAAAGTGGGAAGATAAAACAATTCCTCCATTAAGGTATTTACTTTTGCGTAAGTAAACTTTGCACTGACGATGAATGTACAGAGAATGTACACACAACAAAAATGTAGTTTGACAAAAGTTGAAAACTGAAAACACTTGTGTAACCAGCACGTGCCTGAAGAAACAGAATGTTGTTTTTTTTAAATAGTTGATTTTTTAAAAGATTTATTTATTTATGCTTACAAGAACTGGGTACAGGCCAGAGGTGTGGCAGGTGAGAGGATCCACCAGAGACAGAGCAGGGAACAGAACAGGTAGATAGACCGAAGTACACTGCTGAGGGGAGCAGCGGGCAAGACAGGAGAGGTCTGCCGCGCCATGTGGGTATCTCCCTGGCTGGCCAGGAGTTGAACTGACGCTGCAGAGGCTGCAGAGGCTTCACAGCGCTGTGCTAAACCCCCTGTGCCACCAGAGAGGCCCAAGAAGCAGAATGTTACCAGCATCCTAGAAGCACCCCCGATGCTTCTTTGCTGTCATGCTGCCCCCCCCCCAAAATAACCACTGCCTTCTAAAGTAGATATTAGTGTTACCTCTTTTTCTGTTTATGTAAATGGAATCACTTAGCTCACCCTTTTCTGTGTCTGGCTTCTTTCACTCACCGTGGTGTTGACAAGAGTCGTCCACGTTGATGAAGGTAATAACAGATGGCTTGCTCTCCTGGCTGTAGAATATTATACTGTGTTTATCCGTCCCTCTGCTATTGAGCTTTGTGGGAGTTTCCAGTCTGAGGCTATTCTATTCTAATAAGCGTTGCCATGAACAATCTGGTGAGCATAACGTACATACTGAGGAGGTAATTGCTGGGTTGTGGATACTGCCAAACAGTTTTCCAGTGATTCTACCAGGGTTTACTTTCTCAAACAATCAGTGACATGGGACACTGTGCCCACCTTTCTCAAGGGTCAGTCTTTTGTTCATGCACATTTCTGAAACCTGGGGCTGGGCCAGGCCCTGGATGAATTGCTGGAATGCTAAGGCGGAGAGTCTAGTACTGATCACGTTCCCTTCCCCTTCTCTGTGTGTGGGGGGTGGAGGGGTGTGGAGGACATGGTGAGCCTTTTAGGCTGCATTTTCCAGGCACTTGGGCTAGCTGGAGGGCACTGGATAGAGTCCAGGGGGCAGAAGAAAGGAAGAAGCTTGGCTGGGGCAGGGGGTTTCCTCTGCCTTGGGCAACACCTCTGGTGTGGCTGCTACTATCCATGGCTCCAGCTCCCCGAGAACAGACCTGTTGTGGTTCCAGCTTCTGCAAGTGACCCTGGTCCCTGGGCTCTAGTGACACCACCTGCAGACTTGCCCCTCCAATTCTGGGGTGGCAGTGGCTTCCTACTCTTCCTCCCTCTTTTGATGCTTTAGAATGTTTCTCTCGGGGCCTCTCTGGTGGCACAAGGGGTTAAGACATAGCACTATGAAGCTATCTACAGCCACTGCAGCATAATTTTGATCCCTAGCAGGTGAACCACATGGTGCAGCAGACCTCTGCTGACTCGCCCATTGCTCCCCTCAGCAGTGTATTTCAGTAAATCTGCCTGTTCTGTTCCCCGCTCTGTCTCTGGTGAATCCTTTCACCCCCTACACCTTTGGCCTGTACCCCAGCTCTTGTATACATAAATAAATAAATTTTTTTTAAAGAGACAATGGCTGTTTTTCTTTCTTTCTTTCTTTCTTTCTTTCTTTCTTTCTTTCTTTCTTTCTTTCTTTCTTTCTTTCTTTCTTTCTTTCTTTCTTTCTTTCTTTCTTTCTAAGATTTTATTTATTTATTTATACAAGCACTGGGTACAGTCAAGCGCAGGAAGGTGAGAGAATTCACCAGAGCCAGAGCGGGGAGCAGAACAGGCAGACTGATGAAGTACACTGCTGAGGGGAGCAGCGGGCACAGCAAGAGAGGTCTGCATGCCATGTGGGACCCTCTCTCAGTGGCTGGGGATCAAACTGGTGCTGCAGAGGCTGCGGGCAGCTTCGCAGCCCAGCGCTCAACCGTTGCGCCACTGGGGAGGCCCAATATATAAAATTTTTTAAAT